TAGTCAAAACAGATGCTTAGCAAGAAGTACAATAACCTGTAAACACACATAATGTTTTCCCAGAGCATTCTCTCAGGCTTTGTCTTCCCATGGCCCCTTTAGGCAAACATACACATCAAGGCTGATCCAGGGCATCCCTTCATTCATTCTGCCTCCTCTACTTGCCAGTTCTTTCTATACAGCAACAAACTATTCCTAGCTCCTCAGTGTTTTTCACTTTGCCTACACTGCAGGAGAGGCTTGAACCTGCTTTGACTAATACTACATAGTGTTTATCAAATAAGAAAAAAGAAGAGCCTCAGGAAAGGTAAATAACAAATACCAAAATCACCCAGTGAGCATCAGTTTGAGGACTGTGAAGACTGGAAAGGGCAACAGCTTAGAAAGGAAAATCATTGATTATGTGGGAATTTACCCCACCTTTCCTCTGTATCCATAACATTTCATAGAATCATAGAATCATAGAATGGTTTGGGTTGGAAGGGACCTCAAAGATCATCTAGTTTCAATCCCCCTGCCGTGGGCAGGGAAACCCTCCACTACACCAGGTTGCTCAATGCCTCATCCAGCCTGGCCTTGAACACTTCCAGGGATAGGGCATCCACAACTTCTCCAGGCAATCTGTTCCAATGCCTCACCACTCTGAGTGAAGAAGTTCTTCATTATATCTAATCTAACTCTACCCTTTCAGTTTAAAGACATTTATTCCACCTAATTTCCAGCAGTCACACCAAGTCTATGAAATGTTGACTTCAGAGTAGTTTGCAGACAAAATCACATCTTAAGGTGGAAGTAATTCTTCCTGAATCCAAACCTACATGGCATAGATGAGATTTTCCCTTTTTTTTAACAGTCAAACAAAACAAAAAGCTAGAATTGAATGATCTGAGGTGGCATTTTGGTTTGAGGGAACTTTTCAGAACAAAAAAAGATGAAGAAAAATAAGGTCCATTTTTTTTTAAAATATGATAATTTCATCAAGAACACAAAGTTACAAACGATGGTAATGTTGTACTACACTCACCGTCAGTAAAAGCCTCTCCTTCTACTGGGTCTCCCTCTCCACTGCTGTAGGTTGCATATACTGAAATCCTGTATTTAGTTTCTGGCTCCAAGCCTTCTAGCACAGCATCCACTGTATTTCCAGGGACTCTCTTCTCTCCCATTGTATCGTCATAAAGTGATTTCCATACTATCCTATAATCACTAACTGCTCCTGGAGCTGGTGTCCATGACAACCCAACTGTAGTGTCAGTTATGTCTGTGGTAATCAAATTACGTGGTGAACCACGTTCTGCAAGAAAAAAAAAAAAACAGTAAATTGTCTCTAAAATACAAATAGCAAAAGTTAGAAAAGTACAAATGGAGAAGTAAAACAATCATAAGAACCAAACCAAACTTTTCCCCTCAATATTAGTTTCAATAACATATATTTGTAGTTCCAAGAGAAAATTGATGGATTTTTCAACAAAATGCTTAAAGCTGACTGTAGAATATGAATGACCCTATCCCTTACCGTGTAAGATTCTTAGCAGTTATGCTTTAAAATATGCAAAGTAAAAAAGTTCATTAATCAAAGACTTGAAATGAAGCCAGTGCCTAAATGTGCTACAGCTCATTTAGGTAATATTTAACTCTCAAGTAAATAATTTTATTTCATTCATTCATCTTCATCTCATATGCACAACATTTTTCTGGGGAGTAAATAAAGGAGACCTTTACCTGAGTGAAACAGTCCTTTCTCTGACAACCTTATCTTCTTATTTAATAATACTGTTTTTATCTTCCACACTACTGTTTACCAGATCTATCACTTATTTCATTTTATGTTTACAACTGACTTGCAGAGTGTTTGCTTCATGCTGCAGTTACAGTAGAAAACAGTATCCATCTTTCCATTCATAAAACTTGTACCTCTTTCCTCCCTGTAGTTTATTCCAGCCAGCTTGGAACGAAGGAAACAGCTCATTAGTCTGTGAAATCCAGTTGTCAGCTGAATGCGTGAGTCTCACCTAACACACCAGAGTAATTCCACCGCTTAAAAATGGAGCTCATTGCTCTAAAGTGGTGCATTGAAAGGAGTGCCTCTGTTTAACATTTAACATGCGTTTGCAACATATGTTCAATTTTCCTTTTTCAGTGGCTGGCTTTTGATAGCAGGAAAGGAACGCTGACTGGTGGGTTAATGCAATAACCCACTGTAGCAAAATCTGCAAAAGGGATCTACAAAACCAGGTCCACATACACATAGAAGCACTCAGTTCTTTGGTGTGTATCCTCTGTGGCCTACAGGACATTCCTGAGAGATTGCTTAGCAAGAGGACTTAAACACTTGTGGTGGCCTCCTGGCATCACAGTTAAGTTTTATCTCCACTGATAAAAATATATCCCTATATTATAACACAGCAACCACAGAACCATAGTCAAAATTCTTTGAACACAAATTCAATGTCTATCCAATTTCCATTGCTTAAGCTCATTGCAAGGACAGACTTCACTACTTTCAGAAGCCTGAAGCAGTTTCAGTCCAAGATTGAGCAACAAGTTGCTGAAAGTCATATACTATGTTTTCAATTTTCGTATTAATTTGTCTTTCACTTCCGCCATAAATCTGCAACATTTCCAAATATAATCCCACAGGAGCAAACAGAACTACCTGTAGAAAGACTTCATTTTGGAAATATACCATTGCCAGCACAACTTCATTAAAACTGCGTGAAAGAATCCCACTTGGCTTAAAGACGAATGGAAATTAGTTGCAGCCTATCTGAAAATAATGCTTACAGTATAATAAAGCTTCATCAGCTACGCAAACGACAGAATCAGAGGGTACCACTCCAATCACAAAGCTGACTTTCAAATATAGCTAGCAGAGCATGTGTTGTGGGTTTTTTCTGATTTTAATTCACAGTCTTGGGACATCCCATCATGTTCTTCTGGAGGCAATCTTTTTCCCTTCCAACTATACATCAGTACTTACAATTTTACTCTTCAAACTGATTTTTAGCCTCACAATATAAATCACTGCAGTTTATGGCATCTTCTCTTCAAAAAAAAAGGCTAAGATACAGAGGTTTTGGTAAAGTTCACTTGTTTATCATTTCACTACAATACCAGTGGCATACAACAAAAAAATTACAGTGAAAAGGCCTGATTCACCTTCTGCTTCACGCAGTCTCACTGAATTCAGTGACTGCATTAAATGAAAGCCAGGGTAGAATCTAAACTCCAAAGACCAATTTTCCTGGAAGGCTGAAAAAAAGATTTGCCTTCAAAAGTAAATTACACCAATTTTTCTGTCTGCTCTTAAACTTCTACTCCCAAATCTTGGCTTTTTCATACAATAAAAAAAAAATATCAAGGCAATCCAAATGGAAAAAATATGGAAAACCTAACTTGATAGAATGCACAGATGTCTCACAATAAAAACCTTTCTTTCCATATTTTAATGTAATATAAATATACAAGTCACTTTATTTTGGCTACTTTAAAACATGGCTCTGCCACAACATGATTTCAGTATTAAAGTATCTGCTACCACAGCAGAATTTTTTGCAAGACTACTCTTAGACGCCACAGCTAATGATATATGTTGGAAACACTGCAAAAATAATTGCATATTTAAAACCATTATTGATTAAGTCATTATTGAGGTCATTAAATAACAGAGGAAAATAATTTGTTTGGAATGGACTGTAATGAACACCAGTTACTGTAACATGTTGATTCTGAAAGAAATATCCTTTGGAACTAAATATCTTTTTTATAAGGCAAGGTAAGAGAAGGAAAAGGGACTGGGATTCCTACCAAACCACTAGAACTAAATGGAAAAATTTTACATCAAATAGTTGGAAACTGCTGACAAGACAATTTACCTACTAAAGGAAATTAGACTTTTTATGTGTTACACTGCAACCGAGAACATTTCTTTAACATAACACACTAACTTGATTTGCACCTCATGTGTGAGGTGGAAGTTCACTGACAGCTTTTTTCTCCTTCACTTGATCTCCCGTAAGTGCTTTTGTATTAGGGGAGCAGCTGTGTTTAAGCTGCAGTCCAACTGTAAGTCTTAAATTATTAGGATTCCATCAAGTATTATCTAAGCTGCTACATTCAGAGTCAAGAAACATATTTATGCTCCACAATAACACCGGTATAATGTAGTGACTAGTAAACATACAACTGGACCTATCAGATATTTTTTCCTTGGATTTAAACAAAATAGTGAGTTACCTTGCTTATGTTGCACCAAAACAGAATAAATCTACAATTCTTACACCTAAGCAGTAATTCTGTTCTTTCATTCACGTGTTCAGAAACACTCGTTGTACATCTGCTTCTTGCCTGCTTGTTTAAATAGGATTGATAAGGAGGGTGGAAAGTCAACGCACACCGTAAGAAAGAAAAGTGCTGGCTGGCTGGCTGGCAAGTAGTTAACAGTCAAAAGACTCCTGCTTTTTCCTGACTTGAAATGGAAGTTAAAGTATGCCCATCACTTCATACAGCCTTCAAGTCATCAGCATGTGAGGAAGCAGCTAGTTTTTGAAAATTATCCCCTAGCAGGCATTAGGTCCTATGATGCTTTGGAGCACCAAACCAGCTGGCGAAAGCACAGCTGTAAGCCATGGTGAGCACGTACGTGGTAAAACGAAGTACTGCATGAACAGGTCACATCCCTGCCTGGGCAAGCAAGCCAGTCACCAGTTTCAGGCTATCAGATTCTCTTTGGCAGTCTTTAGCTCAGAGCTGCCGTGCGCCTACAGTCCTTTGTACATCTTTACCATCACTCAGTGCAGACACACTCTCAAAAATTAACTTGGTAACTCTCAGTCAGGTGCTTTTACACTCAGTCCTGAACTTCTGCAATGTCCAGTTTCCATATTAAGTTTTTCCACTATAGTATGCCAGAGACACAATATAATATTAAAATAGTTTCCCTGTGTCTACTTGGCTCGCTTCCCATAGCTCTCCAGCAATCACTGTTGTTATTGAAAACAAGACTGTGAATCAGCTAAAATTAAAATGTTGACATTCATAAAAATCACATGGCCTTATTCAAATGGCCTTTCCCCTCAGAAACATTTACACAACTCCAGCTGATTTCAGTGGTAGTTGTGCATGCAGTTTGGGCCTGAAGTTCAAACAGTTTTCTGTATGTGCTCTTAAAATCAGCTTTCAAAATCAACCTGCAGCAGTAAATTTCATGCAGAGCCATGTTTCATTTAAGTTAAACATAGGATCGATCTAAGCCAGCATCCTAAAAGGTCAGAATCAACTAAATAAACAAGCATTCTCTTGCAGAGGCATATACCAAAATTTTATGACCTGAGTCCTGCCTTGTTTACAACAGGATAGTCAACATCAGATGAGGTGGTAGAAGAATCACTTTAAGGGTTTACTCTAATGGCCAAATTCTCCTCAGCATTGGAGGAGACAGTCACTTTGATTTCTTTCCCTCCGAGCCACAAAGTCATTGGTTATTTCTGGAGTACCAGCTCTCAGGCACATAGAGAGCGGATGTGGACGCGGTGCAGGGGAGAGCCAAGGACTTGCTACACAAAGGGAATGCTCACTTGACCTTGTTAGAGCAGGTTCCTTGCTCTTCTGCTACTGGGAATGCAGAAAGGTCAGGAGATGCGAACCAGGAGAGTTCTGACCCAAAACAGAGGGACTTTGGCCAGAGCGCTCCTGAGTCTCTGCTCTAGAATAAAGCCAATGGGAATTCATACTCAGTCCCTTTAACATTTTATCTGTCTTTTCCAACAGTAATCAGTTAATACTACTCTCAACTGTCTAGAGATATCTTTATTATTCATTCAACCTTCCCGTGTTAATTTTTTTCTGATATAGATTTTGTTTCCTGTATAAAACTAAGATAATTTTCCACAGATTATCAAAAGTCAGTTTCAAATGTCAGACTCAAAAAATCTTGGAATGTATAATTTTAAAAATGCATGAAACAGCATTAAATATCCCGAGGACACTGAGTCCTTGTTTCTGTCAGGACGGAAGCAGCACTACACAGTCTGCACATTACGTAAATTCCCTGTGATATGCTAAAAACCTCATTGTAACAAAATGTCACTTGAATTTGTACTACTCTGCCTGTAGGAGGTCATTAATTTCTAAAGCATTCTTATGTTACCATAGAAACAGCAAAAAGAAATTTCTTTATCAAAGAACTACTATCCATTTTCTGACCTAAAAGAAAGCCCCTACTCAAAATCCTCGAACCTAAGCTCTAAGAAATTTAAACAACAGAAAATAACTTAAAACTGAGAAGTGAATCAG